ATGTTCTCTTCTCCACCATCCACCAAAACCGTCTCTCAAGGATCTCCTGACACCAGTGGCAGTACCCCCCCCAAAACCTCCCAGAGACCTGTGGCCTTCCCTAGCCCTAATGGACAGTTTGCCCATTTATCCAGGAAAAAAACAAAATCAAAAACAAAAACAAACCATGGCCTGCAGAAGGGCAAGAAATCTACTTGGTCATCTCTGTCTCAAGAAAGTTACTGTGTAGAAGGCAAGCGGTGTCTCCAACAAGTACCTTCCAGGTGACCAAGCAAGACAATGACCAGGCAGTGAAGGGGAGGCATGTAGGAAGGACAGACTGGGGTGCTGGGCTAGGGGAGCTCTAGTGGCCCCACTCATTGCTTTGTCTCCCTCTCTCAGTCACCCCTCCTTCCTCTGCCCTACATTTGTCTCCTACACCTCTGTTTCCTGTATCCCTTCACTCATCTTCACACATCCCAGCCGACGCACTTGCTTCCAAATCCAGTGGAACAGTCTGAAAAGACTCCAGCCATCGCTAGCACCTCTGCCCACCTGAGAACACCCATCTTCAGCCTCCAGACACTTGTTTCTGTTGGACAGACTGATACACTGACCAGACCTGGACATGTCTCCACTCAGACTCCAGGGCCTGCTTTCTCCAACCTCATCAGTTTCTCCTGGACCTCCCACCAATGCTCAGGCAGGCAGTAAGTTCCCAGCCTAATGCAGCCACTCTAGGCCTCTATCCTCTACCCATACTACCTAGCTTTCTCTCTCCTCCCTTGCTGCAAAGTACCCCAAACAATGAGTATTACTAACAAGTCCCACAAGGTCCCGTGCCCAGCATTCTCACCCCACACACACCTGATCCACTTCAAGCTACACCCCATATTTCCCTCCAATGTCAGCTTTGGAGTGCAGAACATACCCTTTCTGAATCCCCAGCTGCAAAAGTGCTCCCCAGGGTCTCCATCACCTCCCTGTCCAGGCAGCCCATAGCTACAGGCACCAGGGCACTAAGATAGCTTCTCTAGTTCCTGGGGATCCTGTCTGGTCTCTCTATTCTCTTGGTCAGGACCATAGCCTCAGCTCTCCCCACAAATCAGGCAGTTTATACCCTTAAGCCCTGAAACCCACTCATGCCCTCCCAAACCCGAAGTGTTCCCTGACTGCCTATACAAAGCTTGCCCTATGTACTCTTTACCCACATTCCCACCAAGATCAAGATTATTCGGTCCTTCCTTGGTATGTTCAGTTGGTCCACGCCAAGAAGCACTGTGTCCTAGCCAAGATGCAGACCTGTTCCAGCTACAGTCTAGGAGGCAGCAACCCAGAGCCAGTGACTGCAGCATCCAGACCATGAGGTTATGCATACTAACAAGAAACAGGCTGGGAAGGATGCCGGCCACTTTGGACACCACTCACCGGAAGCGGCTCTGTGGCTATGTCCCCATGTTCACACCATCTGGCAAACACTGAGTATGTGACTAATGAAGAATGACTGGAGCAGTGTGAGCAGACAAGAAACTCAAATGTTCAGGAAAATGAAAGAGTTACAGGTGGACATGATGTGGATGGACATGGGGAGGATGGGCAGAAAGGTAGCAGGATATAACTTTTAGGTGGCCCCTGCTGAGCTGGGATGGTGGCTCTGTCTGTCCTCTTCCAACTAGAACTCCCGTCAGGGCACTTGTGGGCCCTGCTCATCCTACTGGGCAGAAAGAAGTGTCCCTGGGAAGTAGGTGGGCAGGGAAGCCTGCCCCATAACCCTCTGATCCACTGTAGGACCAAGAAAGGAACCCTTCTCCTGGCAGTGAGGCAGAGCTCATATTAGGAGATTTAGGCACTTGTCCCCAACCTACAAAGGGATAACAGGCTGGTCCAATGGGAAACAGGAGTTTATATCTAAGGGACCAGACTCCCTGAACATGGGCCTATACTCCATAGGTTAGCCTCAATGCCCAGAACCTACTTCATCTTTCATAATCCCAAGGGTCCCAGAGGCATCCCTGTGACCAATATAGACCCAAAACCAGATCACATCTATGCCCCAGAGCAGCATGTGCCCAGAACACTTAGTTGATTACAGCCCTTGCACCGTCTACACTGGTACATATAACAAGAGACACCAGAGAAGGAAGCAAGGCAGATAGCAGTAGACACCCAGCCTTCGCTTCTCTCAGAGCAGGAGCTTGGTGCACAACTCTCTGTCCTACCCCTGCCCAGATATCTCTCACAACCTCCACAACAGCATCAGGAGCAGAGAGACCCCTGCTGGTCACTGGGGATATGCTTGGCTTCACTAGGCAACAGGCCAGGGTGCTGTCTGCCTCTCCCCTCAGGAACTCGAACCCTCAAAGCACCAATTAAACAAAGCCTAATTAAAACAACAAAATAACAAGAACGTGCCACACTCCCACACATACCCTGCCACTGGGACCTCAGCTCAGGGGGGTTAGAGATGGGTTCTTCCCTGGGTTTCCCACCAAAACTACTACAAACATGGATAAACGCAGATCTTAATGACTCTATAACCTACAGGAGCATCAGAGCATCTCCTAGCATGGCTCTGGCCCTGTATGTGGGCCTCTAGGAGACATGGATCACCCTCCCATCTGAGGTGGGGGGTTCCCCCACTCTTAGCACTACCTCAAGGAGTCTGATGCAAGGGGAGAAGCCAGTGCCAGCTTTCCTGCAGACCCGGCAGGTAGCGGGCGGAGACATGGACTGAGAAGACAGGTGACAGAGGAGAGGAAGAAGACAGGAGAGTGAAGGAAGCAGGAAGGGTGGGGAAGTGGAAGATGAGAAAAGACAGCTGTACAAAGAGGCAGAAAAGGAGGAGGGGTGAACAGAAAATGGACAAGGGACTAGAGCAAGACAGTCCTGCCTTCCTTTTTGAGGCCCTGGCATCTTCTCCCAGCTATTCGCAGGAAGTTTAGCATCCCCCACCCAGCAATAGGCTGGGTTCCCCACCCTCAGGCCTCTCCTAGGATCAGAGTTCTGGAAGATCTAGGCATCCTAGAGGCAGGGGTGGAGTGAGATGGGTCTGCCTCCTTGCCTCCTTGTTCCCAGGTACTCTACACCTTGGGTAGCAGATTCTAGTAGCAGGATCCAGCATCCCCTGCCAGCCACTCCTTCAACATTCATCAGTTTTGCCAAAACTCACAGTCCCCTCCTAGATGCCTGCCCCAAGACAGGCTCAGGGGACACTCTGAAAAATAAGACGCCATTCTTGTCTTCAGGGACTTAATCTCAAGGGAAAGAGAGCTGTAAACAGCTGTGGTTACTCCTGGATGCCCCAGGTAGTAGCCCTAGATGTGGGGAACACCTGACCCACAGGGGCCACACTTTTCAGCAACCCCTCGTGATTCTCCGCTTACGTCATCAGTGGAAAGCAAGCCTCCATAAAGCTATCGAGGGCTTTCTATAGACACTATGCCAACACACTCCCACTTTGGAATAAGGAGCAACCCACAGAAGTGTGCAGAGATCACTGTCACATAGAGGGTGCCAAGGACACCATCATACTAAATTCCTCAGGCATACCAGACAACTCTAGGGGACAAACCTTCCACTTTCCCCAGCCTCAGCCTTACAAACATGGTCCTCATAACACAAGCTACAACACAAAGATGGGGAGCAGGACCACCCTCATATTCTGTGGGCCTTACTTAGGAGCCCACCTGACTTTATTGTGCAATTACAGGCAGCCATGGTGGCTGAAGCCCCAGACTCAGGCTTCCCAGTCACCTCCTTTCTGTTCTCCATCTGCTCAGCCCGCTCCACACACCCACATGCAGGCCTCCATGGAGGTCAGTAGGCAGAGATGAAGCTACCCCAGTACATTTTAAAAAGCTATCATTCTCACCTATAGTAGGCCAGCTCCCTACGCCCTGATCTCGGCACTTAATCCCCAACCACAAGGCCCTATGGAAGATGACACTGCCATCCCTAGACCAAGATAGAGCCCCCAGGGAAGCCTCTGTGTGAGTAGCTCTCATCCAACCACAGCCTCTGCTCCCAGCACAGGAGTTCCATAGTCCTCAACCTACACCAGAGAAACAAAAGAAGGATGTAAAGTACCCATTAGGCAGACAAAATCCCTAAGGCAACTATGGGATAGGCCACACACTGGCTTCCTGAAGCTCCTGGATGGTAGGGAGTTTTATTCTGATCATTAAAAGGAAGGATTGACAGGAAGCAGCAGGTATACATTGTGACTAAACACATTCAAGGCAGAGGAGCTGGAGAGACGGCTCAGCAGTTAAGAGCACTTGTTTTCTAGCAGAGGACCCAGTTCAATTTCCAGCACCCATACAGTTAATTCCAATTCCAGAGAACCTGGTGCCCTCTTCTGACCTCTGAGGGCTCCAGGCACACATGTGGTACACGCACGCACGCACACACACACACACATACACACGCGCGCGCATGCAAGCAAAACACTCAGACATTAAATAAATCTAAAACCATTGCCAGGGTGAGAACCAGGACAGTGTAGTCAGCCTCACACAGTGAGGTGGCACAGAATTATCAGGGAGACGTCCCAGCTAGCTTGTCAGACAAGAAATGGCTCAGATACCAAATGCTCCCCCAAGATGACAGAAGCCCTCACTTGCTGGTCACACCACCCATAGTGCCCAGGACTCTGTGCCCATAGTGTCCACCTTGCTTTTAGGTTGGTAAGCAGGCTCCTCCAGGTAGGCTACTAAGAGTAAGCCCTTTGGGAAAACACAGGACAAATACAAAAACGGTCCTTGTACCAGGAGCTACACACAGCAGATGGGAACAGACCCCCCCCCCACCACCACTACCAATGTCTCTGAGAGCCTTACTTGGGAGCCCAGAGGCCGCTACTTGAGTAGGGAGAAGCAATCCCCATTTAAGCAGAAGTATAATCAAAGACCTCTTTACACCCTGCACTACAGTAAGTGGAAAGGGACCAACATGAACATTTCTACCATCTCAGCCCTACATAAGGCAGCACACATGAGTGCACTCAGACTTGGCCCACCTACCCCGTGAGAACCACCACGAAGTCCATGACATTCCAGCCATTTCGAAGGTAGGAGCCCTTGTGGAAAACGAAGCCCAGTGCGATGATCTTGATCCCCGCCTCGAAGCAAAAGATCCCGATGAAATAAGGCTCCGTGTCATCCTGAGGAGGAGCACAGGACAGTGTTCACCTCTGTCCCCTCAGCAAAATAGCTAGACAGCAGTCCCTGCCTGATGAGCATACCTACTACCCCAAGGCTAACCCCACCAGGCACCCTGCAAACTTCTGTAGCATGCACTGCTCCCACTAGCCTGAGTGTGCTCATCTGACATGGAAACTATCATTTGTAGATGTGACAAGTGTCCTGTTCATCCCTAGGAGCCCTTCGACCTCTACTGTCATGCCAGCTTCTGCTCCATTCACAGGGTACCAGGACTGCCCTGCTGGAATCATGGAGAAGACTTTGCTCAAGGAGGTAAAAAGGTAGTGATGATGCTCAGTGGGGATGCCTGTAAGTCAAACACTTGTCTAAACTAGAGCAACTCTTTCTGTACAGTCAAGGCTTCCCCATTCTAAGGGCACAAAGGGAGGAACTAGGCCAGAAGCCATAGGTAACCCCAGGAGCCATCTGGGTCTGACATTAGGCTATGGCCACTATTCTAGGTCACCTGAAAAGTTTGACATCCTTGGATTTTGCTTTGGGACTCACTCAGAAACACAACACATATAGACAAGCAGAACATGCAAATTCTGACAGGGGGGGAGAGAGGTCGAGAAAAGCTCCAGCATTAAGGACACTACAGTGACAATACTGTGAAGAGCAGTGGACAGTGCCCCTTCACAGGCCAGGCCTAAAGCCAGTAGTAGGCATGAGACTGGGAGGTGGGAACAAATCCAGGAACCCAGATAGACCAAGGCTCAGGGAGCCTCATCAAAAGTGTGGCAACAAAGGCGTCTAGTCTAGGTTTCTTAGACTAGAGTCTAAGGAAAAGATTACTGTTGGAGAAAACAGTAGAACCAAAGGAATAAAGATAGGGATTCTAATAAGATCCCCAAGTCTACTTCTTAGCCCATACCTACAAGGTATGATATTGGGGAAGACTGGTGCTGAACAAATAGTGTGAAGCTTGGGGGAAAGAATGTTACAGGACCACAGATATAGAAAGCAATAGGCACATCATGTATAAGGGGAGGAGAACAGAGAGCTTCAGGGAGATGGACACAGAGGATTAGCATGATCAGTAGCTACACTCTGGAGTAGCAGCTTTAAAAAGTAAGAAATGATGGGGAGGAGGTCGGCTTTCAGAGTCCATTCACAAGGGTTGTCCCCTAGGACCAGCTCACCATGGCCCCATGAAGACAGACTGGGCACGTGGCCTAGATTTTCCAAGGAGCTGCCAGGTGAGATGGGGCCACTAACTTCTTCAGCTGAAGCCTTTCCCCAAGAAGTATGACCCTCAAGGATGCTGTGCCTTGCCAACACATCAACTTGGCCCTCCCTCTCTTGCCTGCAGGGAGTCAGCCCCTAAGACTGCATGATGGCCCTGAAGTTTGGAAGGAGAGGTGGCTATGAGTAGGTATGAGTAGAAGGAGAGGAAACTACATCTGAGGGTCCTGACAACTAAGTATCTGTGTGGCCTAGTGTTCCTGCCCTGCCTCCTGATGCTAACTCATAATAAGGGTGAAACTCCTGGAGGGATGGATGCATGCACTATTCTTGGTCTCAAGGTTTCTGGCCTAGTTTAGTTGGGAGGGTCTTTATTCTTCCCGGGGAAGGGCTATAGACTATTTACACCAAAGAAGACACTGACCTCAGAAGGTCTTTGGAAGCTCCTGGACAAAAAAGAGAAGAACAGACCAGATTCTAGGGCCACTAGCAAGGAAGTCCTCCCCTAGGTTCTTCTGCCCAGATCCGATAAGCCAGACCCATGACTGAGGCTGATGGGGCTGGAAGATGGGTATGCCAATGGCTCGGGAGCCACTGGGCTGTAAGCTAGAGCCTTGGGCAGCTATAGAAGATTGAGTAGGAAGAGGGCTCACCAGAGATGAAGAAGCCTAACCCCAAGCAAGGCTAGAAATGCTGGGGGTTCTAGCACCATTCAACATCTTCCTTCTAGATAGGAAGTAGTTCCAGTTTCCAAGCCCATCTCTCTTTTCATCCTAACAGCCCCTAAAGACTTAGCCTATAGACAAGACTAAAGTTATCAAAGAGCTTTTGGGACCTCCAAGATAGGCCCAAAGTGACACATATTGCTTGTTTTCCCAACATCTTGGCCACAAAGTGTACATCTCCCCATTCCCATCATTATCACACCAAGCAACCCTGCTACACTGACACAGGTACTCAGAAAGATGAACACTAGACTTGTCTATGAAAGGATGCCTAAGTCCATGGCTTCCTTGCACTGGCCTCAGTCTGTCCTGTGACCCTCTTGGCCCCACCTGCCAGAGTTCACCAGAGATATGGTCATGATCTGTGGTTTAGTACTTGGTAAACCTCCAAGTTTACCCCTTCTCTGGCCTCTGGAATTGGTGCTCACCACAAGGATAGAGCAGGCAGAGGACCTACTCCATCAGAATCCCAAAGGAATAGAGGAACCATACTACTTGGTATGCCCAGAAAGGCCCAGAGACCATTACTTACCCTCTGCCTTGAAATGTGACTTAACTCACACCCACTTAGTCATCCCCTCTCCTCCAGGAAGGTCCTCAAACCCATCCTTTTAGATGGTTTGTCTTGATGCCCACCTACTCAGAGCCACCTCTCTTTCCAAACTTCAGAAGAGAGTGGGAAGGCAAACTACACCAGAGCTCAGCAGGATGCCAGGTCCCAGGTTAAGAATTGCTTTATCGGCTGAAGTCAGGGAAGCAACAGCCAGGATACAGAGAGGCTGGAGCAGCCTCTTCTTAAAGACCTCAGTCCTCAGAGTCCTTCTGACTTCTACTTGCTTCTCCTCCATACTATGAAATGCTAAGTCTCACAGTCATACCCCACACATGCTAAGCCCAAGCAAAAGGGCAACAGGAGAGAACTTTAGTGTGTCCTCACCTGTGAAGTAGTGCTAGCCCCTCAAACCTCCAGAGTTCAGGAGGCTGGCCTTCAATTATGCCTCCTGCTCTATAAGAGTCATAAGCTCAAAGGTATGGCCCCTAATTCCCAGAGTGGACACCACTGGATTCTCTAGGAAACTCTTGGCAAGACACTAGAGGAAAACTGGGATTCAGAACACTTGGGAAGAAGTGCTTCCTTAGGGAGCATGGCAGAAAAGATGGTCAGTGGGCCACTGGGCTACCCATAAAGCCTGATTCTTGTTTTGTCTATGAGAAATGCCCCTCCCTCATTCCGGGTCTAGAACTGAGTTCATAAGCCAACACCAGCATAGCATGCCCAAATGAACCATGTGGGGAGTAGGAGCAGCTAAAGACAAGAAACAGACCAGCTGGTGATTCTCTACTCTTTCTTCACACTCAACTGGCCACCCCAGGTCCCTGGCACTGGACAGGGAGTCAAAGAGCCTTCACATGTAGGACAGGGTCCTGCCTATCCAGCTCAGGCACATCAGACAACCTGCCACTACCCCCAACTTTCAGCCCCCCAGACCCTCAGTCAGCACTCACCAGGCGCTCAGACATGGGAGTCTTGTCCCCATCAGGGAGGTGCTGTTCCAGGGCCAGAACAATGCAGTTGGCGATGATGGTGGCTAGGATCATGTATTCGAAGGGCGTGTGTGGGTTAAGGACTGGCTAGGAGGCGCTACGGAGGTGGTGAAGATGAGGACAGCGCAGTGCAGTAGCCAGGGCTGAGTACTGCTGGCCGACACCCACCTTCCCCCCATCAAGGCTAGTCTTCTCAGTTCCCCGCCCTAGTTCTGGGGGCAGCCAAGAGGCGGGGCCTCTGCAGTTGCCCAGCCCCTCAGTAGTTCCGACGCCGTCAGCACCACGGACAGCTGCTTTGCTTGGACTGCCAGCGCCACAGAGGAACCCTCCTGTCGCCCCCCAAAGCAGCAGAAGCAGGCCCTGCGCAGGCGCATACCCTACCTAAAGACAGCCACAAGTATCTACACCCGCACGTGAACATAATGTACCAAGAACGCACGCAAGCGCAGCACCGGCTCATGCGATGCCCGCACACAAACGCAGGCACCTGCAATCAGCACGCGCCCGGACCCGCATCCACACTGCCCTCACACCGGCATAGACTCGGATTCGCCCTCCCGTGTCCTCCAGGCCGGCCGTATGCTGTGTGCCCCAACCTGGCTCCCCAAGACCAAGTGCATGAAGGGACAAGCCCCAGGGTCAGAAGGGGCTCCGCCCAGCATGCACCCGGTCCGTCGTGGCCTCCACGACCACACACGCGCACACCCAAACCACGCACACACGCACTTGGAGACCGCCCCAGAGGCTCCGCCCCGCTCCTCCTCGCCGGGCCGTGGGGTCCGCGACGCGCCTCTCTTGGGTCGCACCCCCTCCCAGCACCAGAAAGATGGCCACTGGGCGCCGCCGCCCAGGCCCCAGCCGCCCCTCCCGGACCCGCCGCGCGGACACCGACGACGCCCCTGCCCCTGACCTCCGCCGGTCCCCGCCCGGCCAGGCCCCCCGTAGGATATGGCCACTCGGTGATGCGCTTAGCGTATTTGCGGACGACGTTGTCCTCGCTGAAGATGAAGAGCGAGCGGTTGACGGTGAAGCAGTTCTGCTTGACTGGGATGGGGTTGTACAGGGCCATGGTCCGTGCGCGCTGCGCGATGGACTGCTTGTACAGGACCCGCTGGCCCGGCGGCAGACCCCCCTGGCCCGGGCCACCCGCCCCGCCGGCCCCGCCGCCTCGAGCCCGCTCCCCGCCGCCGGTGCCCCCATAGCGGCCACTCAGCTCGTCCCCGAAGCGGACCATGACTCTTGGGCGCCGCGAGCATCCCCGGCTCCGCGGCCCGGCACCGAGGGCGCGGCGCGCCAGGAGCTTCTAGCCGAGCCGCAGAGAGCCGCCTGGACCTCGCCCGCCAGCTGCTACCGCACCCGAGCCGCGGCCCTACGCCACGCCCTATAAGGGGTCGGTCACGCGGCCGCGCTTAGCCAATCCGTGCCGGTCCCACCCCCGGACCCTACAGACCCCGCCCCCGCGGCCGCCCCCGCCGGAGTCCGCGGCGGTCCTCGGGGAACGCCGAGTTGCGTGTGCCTAGCTCTAGGCAGCGTGAGCTTCTGCGTGCCCCCCGGGCGCCGCCCAAAGCCTTCGCTGCCTCTGGTTCCCCAGCTCAGCAGCCTGAGAGATCTCCGGGTGCCCTCGCGCTCCTCAAACCCGAACAGACCCTCCCCGGTGGGGAGATGTCCGTGACATCGAGAAGCGGCAGCCTAGGTTCCCACTGGCGTTCACACCCCTGTCCTGCGGAGGCCATGTCGTCAGCCACTCCCTCTTGCTACTGGCCATCGGATGCCGAGGCTATCGTCGCCCCTCCATTTTTTGATATCCTTACATGCCCTACTTTGAATTCCATGGACACTGAAGGTTTCGCAGTGAACCCTATCAAGAGTTCCACCTGCGGTTTTTCATATACTGGACTCTGAGCCGCTCCAAGATCTCAGTTACGAGGGTCCTTGTTCTGCCATTCATTCATTCTATAAACATTCAGACGGAGCCTTCGTGGTGCACCTGTTTGCCACGCCCAGGATCCACCTTCACCGAGCTGACATTTTTCTACCAAAGGTAGAAACATCTATATAGCACTTAATAGGTGATAGCAGACACAGTGAGTACACAGAATGGCTTGTGAGTCCTAAAAGCGTTGAAATTAACCCTTCCCAAATCACACTTGAGTGGCAGAGGAAGAGAAAGGGTCCTCTTCATCCTTGCAGGAAATAAACAAAGGCAGGTCACAGCGTCACAGCATTGTTGAAGAGTGGATGGTGGGAATCTGTCTGCCCTACTATGGCTTGGATCTGAGATGTTGCCCCCAAACTCGTGTGTCGCGGACATGGTCCCCATTGCAGCAGTAATCAGAAGTGAGGGAGGGCTTTGGGATCCCGAGAGGAGTAGGACCTCATGAACAGATTAATGAATTCATAACCAGGAGGCTGTGGAATGCAGAAGTGGAACCTAGCTGAAGAGAGTGGGCCCTTGAGGGGCATGCTGTGGGAGAGGGGCTGTATGTGTCTACAGTCCCTTCCTCTCTCTGAGACTTATTCTTCTATTTCCTTCCCTCTCTCCATCCTCTCCTTCACCACCTTTTCTGGCATGCTACTCTGACTCCCCACAGATTCAAACAATGGTGCCACAGAAACCGTGGGCTGAAACCTCTGAAACTGTGAGCGATAATACACCCTTGCTCTTTTAAGCTGTTCTTAGTGAATGAAAGCTGATCCACACATGCCTCCAGAGAGCTACTGGGAGGTAAGGCATGCAAAACCAGACCTAGCAGAGGACAGGAAGCACAGTCCACTGCCGGAAGTGGGATGCTCTCCCTGTTGCCATCTGATACATTCCAAAGGATCCCATTGGCTGCACAAAGAAGATAGACTATTGGAGACCAGTACGTGAGTGACTTAGGAAGCAGAGGTAAGCAGCAGCTTATAAGAAACAGTTTTTAACTTCACGTAATGAAAAGTCAGCTTTAGGACTATTATTTTATCTCCCTTCTTTCCACGATCACTATATATTCTTGTCTTCACACTTGTCACCATGTGACTCAAAGGCTTGCCATGCTGTCATCTCTTTACACTACCATATCAAGCAAGGGAAAGAAGGTATAAAAAACACCTATTTTTAAAATCAGTTTATCACATCATTTTATAATGAAAGAATAAATTTGTTCAGAATTCTTAAACTTTTAATTATTTTTCACTATAAGTCATTTATTTACTTTTTAAAGATTTATTTTTTGATGGGATATAGAGATGGCTCAGAAGTTAAGTGCACTGGCTGCTCTTCTAGAGGACCTGGTTGAATTCCCAGCACCCACATGACAGCTCACAATGTCTGTAACCCCAGCTGCAGGGATCTAATGCCTCTTCTAGCCTCCATGAGCACTGCATGAAAATGGTACACAAACAAACATTGAAGCAAATGTTCATACATACTATATAAAAATAAAATCTCAAAAAGTTAAAATTTTTAAATATTTTTGAGGTTGGACATGATGGCACATTCCCTTAATCCCAGCATTTTGGTGGCAGAGGCAGGCTTGTCTTTCTGAGTTTGAGTCCAGCCTCATCTATGTTCAAGTTTAACCTTGTCTACACAGCAAGTTCCAAACCAACCAGACCTACATAGTGAACCCCTGTTCAAAAAGAAATAATGATTTTTACTTTTAATTATATATGTATGTCTGTCTGCACATGGGTATGTGTGTCTCCCATGGCCCTGGATCTGGACAGACAATTACAAACAACCTACTGTAGGTTCTCCACTCTGGGTACTAGTCAGTCATTTATTTACTCCCCCACATCACCAATTTCCTATCTCTCCAGGAAAGCTACACACCACTGAGTAGCCGGCATCGTTGGCTGTGTATAATAGTTTCCTCCAGACTGAAACATCCTTTCCTGCTGATAAGTGTGGTTAAATTTTCTTGACAGACTTTTGGTTTCCCAATAATGACACAGAGACATATAATTAGCTTAGGCTTGGTTTTAGCTAGCTCTTATAACTTAAATTAACCCATTTCTATTCATCTATGTGCTGCCCTGAGTGAGGCGCTTACTTCATCTACATACTTTCTATCTTGCTTTTCTGTTTCCTCTATGTCTCCTCACATCTATGCCCTTCTTCTTCCCAGCATCCTCTGTGCCTGGAAATCCTGCCTCGATATTGGCTGTTCAGCATCATCACAGTGTATGAAAAGATTTGTCCCACAACATTTCCCTCCTTTTGTATAAATAAAAAGGAAATGTTTTAACTCTAACAAAGTAAAACTTTATGTAGGTAGACAGATTTTTCTTTGGGCAGCTAGCTCCCAAATAATGACATGGATGTTTCTTGTTAATTATGAAAACTTAGGTTAGGTTTGTTCCTAATTAGTTCTTATATCTTGAATTAACCCATATTTCTTAATATACATTCACTTGTGGGACTCAATACCTCAATTCTACATACTGCCCATCTTGCTTCCTCTGTCCTCTCTGTCCCTAGAAGTCCCACATAATCTCTTTCTGCCTAGCTATTGGCTATTCATCTCTTTATTAAACCAACCAAAAAGTGCCATGGCAAAGACACATCCTCACAGTGTAAACTAATATTCTACAACATTAAAAGAGAAGATTCTATTAATTACCTAGGATGTAGGATAGGTTTACAAAAGATTCAGCCACAGAAAGTCCAAATCAGGAGAAATCAATTACAAATGCTTAATGATTTTCAAAAATTGCTGGAAGATATTAACTGGCAATGATCCTCAATTGGACTGACAACTCAAGAACTAGGCAATTTATTTCAAACCTTACAAGGAGATAAGAACTTAAATAATCCAAGAAAATTATCAGCTGAGGCTGAGAGAGAATTGGCTTTGGTAAAAAAAAAAAAAAAAATTACAGGCTGCTTGATTATATCCTGGTTATTTTACCTTCTAAACATTCACCTACAGGAATTCTTATGCAGAGAGAAGATAATATCTCTAGAATGGATATTTCCACCACACAAACAGAGTAAAAAATCAAATACCTATGTAGAAAAGTTTTCCGAATTGATTCTGAAAAGAAAATTAAGACTTTGTCAATTAATAGAAATAGACCCAGCAGAAATTGTGATATCTTTTACTAATGCTGAAGTTTCCTCATAATGGGCATAAAATGATCATTGTCAGAGCTTGCAGTAATTTTGGGGGAGAGATTAGCAACAAATATTCCAAAAGCAAGAGACCAGTTTATAAAGAAAACTAATTGGATCATTTCTCACATTGTATGGGGAACATCAAGTTTTGGAACCCCTACATTATATACTGATGCAAATAAATCAGGAAAGGAAGGTTATAAGTCAGGAAATTTAAGTAAAGTGGCCCAAGCCCTTATGATTCCATTCAAAATCCAGAATTATATGTTATTCTTATGGTATTATTACATTTTCTAGAACCTTTTATATAGTTACTGACTCTCAATATGTGGAAAGAGTTGTTTTACATATTGAAACTGCTGAACTTATTCCAGATGATTTAGAACTAACTTTGTTATTTATTCAATTTCAAGAAGTAATCAAAAGTAGAAATCATCTTTTGTAATAGAACACGTGTCAGATCCCATACAGGTCTACCAGGCTCTCTAGCACAAGGTAATGATGAAATTGACCAGCTAGTGGTAGGAAATGAGCTAGAAACCTCAGAATTTTATGAGAAACACTATATTAATAGCAAGGGTTTGAAGAAAGACTTTTCTGTCACTTGGTAACAAGCCAGGGAAATTATAAGGAAATGTCATACTTGTTCTTTATATAAACCAAACTCTACTACCTGCAGGAAGTAATCCAAAAGGTTCTCAAAGAACTGAAATTTGACAAATGGATGTGTTTCATATTGCTGAGTTTACAAAATTAAAGTATGTGTACCATAGTATAGACACATAGTCAGGACATCAATGGGCAACTGCTTTGAGTTCTGAAAAGACTGATTCTATAATTATACATTTATTAGAAGTTCTGAACATCATGGAGATACCTGTACAAATTAAGTCTGGCTCCAGCATATATCTCTAGTAAAATGAAAGAGTTTTTGCATATTACAACATAAAGTTTATTCCAGGCATACCATACAATCCTACAAGGCAACCAGTTTTTTTTTTTTATTGTACATGTTGATCCCAGTTCCCTCTCCCTCTCTCCCTCCCTGACCATCCTCCCCTCCAATCCCCCCACCCCAATTCCACATGTAGGGCAATGCCATCCAGGTGGGGTCATGTAAATCTGTCAAGTCATTTGAAGTAGGAACTAGGACTTCTCTCCTGTCTCTAGGTTAAGGCAGTATCCCTCCATGGGGGATGTGTCCGCAAGGTCCTTTCGTGCACCAGGAATACATACATCCTGGTTCCGCTGTCTGAGGTCCCATAGACTGCTCTGTCCTTCTAGCT